GGAGGGGGGGGGGGGGGGGGGGGGGGGGGGGGGAGGGGAAGAGTCGGTTGATTTTCCGATTTATAAATTTCCGGAACAACAGTATTTTTGCAAGATTTCGAAACATAAAAGCCAACTGCATTTGGCAACGAATTTTCAGTTGGAATTCGTGCAGAACAGGACGACAATTTCAACGGTTTATAAAAACATGAAGGTGCGTTCGTGGTGGAAGCAGAGAATGCCGACTATGCAGCTCAAGACGGAAAAGCTTCTATAGCTAGACTAGGGATGTGGGATGCATTTCGAAGAAGTACAATTTCCACAGTGGTAGCCTAACAAAATTAAAAAAACGCAAGTAAATACAGTAAGTGATTCCGAAACACAGAATATGTGTAAAATGCGAGTAAGCCAAAAAAAAAATCCAAGCAGCTCACCCGGCAGTGACCACATTTGCACACTGAGCCGAATAACGCCGTCAAACAACGATGCACACCGAATGTACCAAAGATAGCAAGTAACACGTTGAAGACATACACTGTAAAATAAGTATTCCTCGCTCACAAAAATGTGCAAGACAAGAAATGAACTTTTTATACTCTATCTTTGAAAAAACACCAAAATCACAAAGATGCTATGAAATAATGAAAAAAAAGCTATACTGTGGGCAAGAAGGTCGACAAAATTCACTTATCCGTCCAAATCCATAAGCAATTAAGGAAGAACATATCAAGACCACCCAAACAACTGTTGTGAGAACTCCATGTCACTTATGATGCTAAGAAATGCCGAGTGCAGCTACGTCAGACCCTTCAGTTCTAAGCTTCATGCTTTCAGTTAGTATTCAGAGACTGCTTGATATATTTGAACTACCCTTACAAAACATGGAAGCAAGTAATCATTCAAAAAAAGGAAGCTGTTCATCCTCTCCACCGAGCTAAAGCCAGCTTGTGCCAATGAGTTTGGAAGCTTAAAAATATGTAAACTATTTAAATTACTTCGAAAGACTTAAGAAAAATTGCCAAAATCAACTTCCTGGATCATCAAACTACAACGAAACCATTACCCATAATCGGACGAAAATAGAAGCCGAGCATGATGGCGCCGACAACAACCAACATTAAAACAACGATAAAGAAACAGTTGAGTGGAGTGGTTATTCGATCTTCACTTTTCGCTTTTTCAGACGATGTAGCACCCGTCACGGAGATCTGGTTGAGCTTCTGAACAATGGCCGCCTCATCTTCATACCTGGAAATCGCTGAATTCTTTCTATTGGCTTTTTGAAAAAAAAAAAA